GAAAATTTGTCATGATATATTTTCTTGGGGGACCAATTTGCATAATTTGAGGAGATTTTTTTTCATATGATACATTCCCTTTGGTCCTCCTTTGCATAATTAGTGGTGATGATTTTTTTTTCATATGATACTTTCCCGTTGGTGCCCTCTTTGTATAATTTAAGGAAAACATTTTTCATAAGATATGTTCCCTTTGGTCCTTCCTTTTCATAATTGGAGGTGAACATTTTTCATATAATATTTTCCCTTTGGTTCCCCTTTGCATAATTAAAGGAGAAAATGTTAATACGATGTTTTCCCTTTGGTCCCCCTTTGCATAATTGGAGGTCAACTTTTTGTTTATGATATTTTCCCTTTAGTTCATCCTTTGCATAATTGGAGGTCAACTTTTTGTTTATGATATTTCCCCTTTAGTTCATCCTTTGCATAATTTGAGGTGAAAATTTGTCATTTGATGTTTTCTCTTTGGTCCCCCTTGCGCATAATTGAAGGTGAAATTTTATCATATAATATGTTCCCTTTGGTCTTCCACCCTTTGCATAATTGGAGGTGAACATTTTTCATTTGAATATGGACGACTGGAGGTGAAATTTCGTCATATAATATATTCCCTTTAGTCTCCCTCCTTTGCATCATTGGAGGTAAATATTTTTCATATAATATTTTCGCTGTGGTGCCCCTTGCGTAATCGGAGGAGAATATTTGAATTAAGATTGTTTTTCATTGGTCCTCCTTTTGTATAATTGGAGGTGAAAATTTGTAATGATATTTTGCCTTTGGTCCCTCTATGCATAATTTGAGGAGACATTTTTTCATATGATACTTTCCCTTTGGGGTCCCCCTTTGCATATTTGAAAGATGAAATGTTAATATGATGTCTTCCTTTCAGCACCCCTTTGCATAATTAGAGGTAAAATTTTTCTATAAGATATTTTTCGATCCCTTGGATAATTGGAGATGATTTTTTTATAATAATTTTCCTTTGTTTGTATAATTGAAGGTGAAATTTTTTCATCTTATACTTTCCCTTTGGTGCCCTCTTTGTATAATTTAAGGAGAAAATTTTTCAACAGATATTTTCCCTTTGGTCCTCCCTTTTCATAATTGGAGGTGAAAATTTTTCATATATATAAATTTCCCTTTGGGTCCCCTTTGCATAATTAAAAGAGAAAATGTTAATACGATGTTTTCCCTTTGGTCCTCCTTTGCATAATTGGAGGTGAACTTTTTGCATATGATATTTTCCCTTTGGTCCATCCTTTGCATAATTGGAGGTGAAAATTTGTCATATGATTTTTTTCTCTTTGGTCCCCCTTGCGCATAATTGGAGGGAAATTTTGTTATATGATATGTTCCCTTTGGTCCTGCCTTCCTATGCATAATCGGAGGTGAATATTGGTCATGATTTTTTCTTCTTTTTGGTGCCCTCTTTGCATAATTTAAGAAGATCATTTTTCATAAGATATGTTCCCTTTGGACCCCCTTTTCATAATTGGAGGTGAACTTTTTGTATATGATATTTTTGTCCATGCTTTGCATAATTGGAGGTGAAAATTTGTCATATGATGTTTTCTCTTTGGTCCCCCTTGCGCATAATTGGAAGTGAAATTTTATCATATGATATGTTCCATTTGGTCTACCCCTCTTTGCATAATTGGAGGTGAACATTTTTCATATAATATTTTCCCTGTGGTCCCTCCTGCATAATCGGAGGTGAATATTTGAATTATGATTATTTTTCTTCGGTCCCCCTTTTGCATAATTGGAGGTGAAAATTTGCCATGATATTTTTCCTTTGTTCCCCCTTTGCATAATTTGATGAGAATTTTTTCCATATGATACATTCCCTTTGGTCCCCTTTGCATTTTTACGGGTTAAAAATTCCATAAGATATTTTCCCTTTGGTGCCCTTTCCGTATAATTTAAGGAGAACATTTTTCATAAGATATGTTCCCTTTGGCCCCTTTTGCTGAAAGTCTCTATAATAAATAAATCAATCAATCAATCCCTTTGGTCCCTCTTCGCATAATAGAGGGGAACTTTTTGTATATCATATTTTCCCTTTGGTTCCCCTTTTGCATAATTGGAGGTGAAAATTTGTCATATGATAAGTTCTCTTTGGTATTCCACACCTCCCCCCCCCCCCCCCCTTTGCATAATTGGAGGTGAATATTGGTCATGATTTTTTTCTTCTTGCCCCCCTTTGGATAATTCGAGGTGAAATTTTGTCATAACATTTTTCCCCTTGGGTTGCCCTTTTGCATAATTGGAGGTGAAAAAAAATCATATGATACTTTCCCTTTGGTGGCCTCTTTGTATAATCTAAGGAGAACATTTTTCATAAGATATGTTCCGTTTGGTCCCGAGGGGGACGACTCTATCTACGATGCAGAAAAGATTGTGTTTTGCTATGGCTAGCTGCACGCACGCTGAGTAGATAAAAGGAAGATTTATGTCGATTTTGAAGCTTTCCTGCAAAAAGATGAAGCACGATGCAAGTAGATGCGAGAAATGAAAGATGATTTTTCGAAGATTGATTCGCTAGTGTGAGATTTTTTGAGCATCTAGAATTGAGATTAAGATGTGTCGGCCCCCTCGTTTGGTCCTCCCTTTCCACAATTGGAAGTTGAAAATTTTTCATATGATACTTTTTCCTGTGGTTCCCCTTTGCATAATTAAAGGAGAAAATGTTAATATGACGTTTTCCCTTCAGCCCCCCTTTGCATAATTAGAGGTGAAAATTTTCCATAAGATATTTTCCATTTGGTCCCCCTTGTGCATAATTGGAGGTGAAAATGTTGTATATGATATTTTCCCTTTGGGTCCCCCCTTTAGCTTTTATTTTTTTTTTCAATAATTCGTTTATTTTTCCAGGCTCATTTGCTGTAGCTTTGCAGAGCCGATATTCATTGTTTAGATAACAAAATTACTTAAAACTAATGTTAGTAAAGCGGGGGCCGATTACTCGCGGCTATCTTGAGGTTAGGGGTAACACAGCAATGTGCTCTTGATCTCAAACTAGGCGACACTCTGATGAAAAAGACAAACATGGGGGTACACCGATGGGCAGCTAACAACTTGGGAGAACACGTTTTGCATAATTGGAGGTGAACTTTTTTCATATGAATTTGCATAGTTGGAGGTGAAATTTTTGTAAATGTCATTTTCCCTTTGGTCCATCCTTTGCATAATTGGCGATGATTGGGGTTTCGATCGTCCCATAATTTAGGATTTAGACTAAAATAAACATCTCCAAATTTGGTAGGAATCGGATGATGAATTTCGCGTGCATCGGACAGCAATTTTGAAGTATCAAAATATCAAAGTAATAGTAATATTATGACCTAATAGCAAAATAAGCTATTGCTATGTTATTGAGTTGCCTTAATGGTGCCAATAACTTAAGAAGATATGATAGCTAAATTTGATATTATTTTGCTATGATTTTTCTATTTACCTCAACTCAGGTACCCTTATAGAATGTGATGAGGAGGGCATCGTAAAATGGAAAAGAAGGAAGGAGGATCTCAAAATTGATAGTTCACTGAGTGCGGCTCTGAGCAGAGGATCAAAGTGAGGCCTCAAACGGGTCGCAGCCCCTCATTAATATTTATATTATTTTGAACACGTTTCCACACAAATCTGACGTGAAAATTAGTTCGAGTGTGGCTTCCGATCACCGGACAGCACGATTGTAAGTGTAAGAAATCGAAAGCTCGAGAATTTTTCGCGTCTGGCGTCTTTCGCGCTTTAATTACCATTAATGAGGAAGCGACAATTAAACCTTAATTGATAATTGTTTACCAAGTCTTTACCCGACTGACCGACCAAGCTGACGCGAAGCGCATCAATTCGCCGTCGTCGTTCTGTTCCGCCGCGCCGCTGTCCAGATAGCACACGAGGAAAGGTGGTGTCCACTGCCGCAGCCTAGTGTGGACACCCTCGAGTACAAATACCTCTAGTATGTAAGTGTTCATCGCGGTAATGCTCTTACACAAACACCCTGCTCCGCTTCACCGCAACACCATCCCCCCCACAGGTCGTTATAATACCATATTGTCATACTGAAGCCAATGTGAGGTGTAAAAATCGCTCAACGAATGTCATTTATGCGAGCACGCGACGACGATTGCTTCAACTTTTCTTCTAACAACTGGTCTTACACACCTCAGGTTGTTGCGCCAGCCATTGTTGTTTGCACCCTCTCTAGATTATTACATTGCAACTTGGCTTAGCAAGACGAAACCAACGGGGGTGTTACGTAAAATCGGCAAACGGAGCTACACCGCCTCGGTTTTTGCACTTTCTGTAAGTCATCAGAAGAGAAAATCATTCTGATCTGATCCAGGAAGATTGGAGCCTACTTGGATTGTCAAAAGATCGACTAACGATCTTTTTTTTTTTTTTTCGTCAGTCGCAGACTGCTGAGGTAGCAAAAAAAATGGTGTCAGCACAAACAAACATTGTGCGCCGTCCGTCTGTCTCCGTCGTCGTCGTAAGAAGACTTTTAATTTTTCAGAGGGAGTAGGCGTACTGGTGGTGAGCATAAAGGCTTGGAGAAGGAGTTCAATTATTGCCACTTGTAAACATAGTATTCAACTCATCTCGTTTTTGGGTTGATGCGGCGGTCTGCGGTGCGCGGAGAATGGGTATCATGTTCCATGTAAACTAAGGTCTTTATTTAGTAATAATGGATGACATCAGCGGGGAGTTACGGCTCTGGTTTGCTTTTGGTGACTCATCGGATTTTCGAGCATTGGCGATCATTTCGAATCCTTGGAAAGCTATGTTTATCTTATTACACGTAGTCACTTCCTGGTTCAATCAACTCCGCCTCCGAAAAGTGCTCTCTGTTAGTTGACATACACCGGAAAAGACTCCCTCATCACTTATTCCGATCAGAAATCAATTCTCTGAGAAATTTCCGATTCTTTGTATATAAACAAAAGTCATTAATCGTTCGTTTTTTTGTTGTTGTCTTTCCTTTGTTCCATTTCCAGCCCAACCCGAACGTCCATCGGCGAAAGAGCGAGGTGGAAGAAACCAGCACGAGTTTTCACAGCCAACGAGTCGAAACGAGTGATAAATGACGCGATCCGAATCTATTCGGCAGTGATTTAAGTGTTCTCTATTGGGTGTCAAAATTCTGGAAAAAAATATTTCCTAAACAGGAAAAAAAGAAGTGTTTCAAATTTTGTGATGCCGAGTGAAGATATGAGTGATCCCGGGTACAGATTGAATCCGGTCGCGAGGGTAATCGAAGCAACCGGTGGTGCCGTTCGGTGGACGCGCGAATGCGAAGAAGAAGATTGAAATTTTTCCAAATCAAAGTGTGCGAGAACAGGAAGACCGGGCCGGGCAAAACGCGGAAACAAATTGGGGACTGACCAGCGAGAAATTTGTGGAACACGCGCTCGGAAGCGTGCTACCACAAGTCCCAGTCGGTAGTCTGTATGGATGCGGGAGGTCTCCCAGTATTTCCGGGTGCCAATCAGGCCAATCACCTGAACAGTCTTCACCTACAACAACAGCAGCAGCAGCAAGCTCAGCAACAGCACCACCTGCAGCAGCAGCAGCAGAATCAGCAACTGACTCTGCAGCAGCAGCAGCAAATGCAGCTGATCAACAGCCAACATCTTCAGCAACAGCAGCAACTCCATCTCCAGCAACAGCAACAGCAAGCTCAACAACAACAGCATCAGCAGCACCAGCAGCAACAGCAACAACAACAGCAGCAACAGCAACAGGGTGATCTGATCCCCGCCAAGCGTCAGGCTGTGTTTGATCGGCTGAAGCGACGGATCGAAACCTACCGGCGCCGCCAGAACGATTGTACCCCGCGGTTCGACCAGACCTTTAGTGGAGTGTGTGAACAGCAGGCCAACGAAACCACTGCCCTGCAGAAGAAGTTCCTCGAGGCGAAGAACAAACGGGCGCTGAAGAAAGCGGAGAAGAAGCAAAGTGATCAGCAACCGTCGTCGCAATCGCAGCAACCGACGCAGCAGCAGACGACGATCGCGGGAAATTTGCAGAGCAGTGTTCATGTGGTGAGTAGAAACACAAGGCCTACTTACTTACTTACTTTTTTTTTTATTCTTCTGTCAAAATCCTTCGGCGGAGTCAATGCTCCTCCGCCGCCGCTTAGGGCGAACCCGTAAACAAGTTAGTCGAATTCGGGCTTCGGGCGAGGTTCTTATCAGCTCGCCGCCGGGGGGAATTTATGTATTGTTTACACTGTCACCGAATTATCGTTACGCCACTTGGTGGTTGATAATTTACGACGGGTGCGTTCGAATCGTTCGAACGGGAGTGAACGGGAAGCGGGTAACAAGCAGAAAATCTGCACTTGGGGAATTCAGATTCGAACAGTTTAAGCACAAGTTAATCAAGCTGATGATAAGAGTTTTATTTATTTGAGAGGCTTAAGGCAGCGGTGTGATTTGGTTACGTTTCCGGAGTTAGATGAATATTTGCTATCTTTTGGAGTTTCACCAGAGTTGTTCTTGGCACGCTGTAGGTTTATCAAGTTCTGAGCAGGGTTCTGCATTTTCGTCATTGTGAACCTTCCTCCCGTCAAACTTGACTTGACTATCGCTTGATTCGTTCGTCAAGTGCATCAGTTCATTTCATTTGAAGCAAAGACTTGTTTCAACTGACGCAATGAATGACTCGAAAACTGCTTCCTTCGTTTTTTTGCCACTTTCAATTCGGGGCTCATTCGACTTGTCACGCGTCGCGTCGTCTGGCATCAACATATCTCGATAACTTTTTCAAAGGGACGTATCAGCTTTTGTAAACAATGCATTTGATCGTCGATTTGGCGTAACTGGTAGCTCACCCACGCATGCTAAAACCACCATCAGATAGAGGAAATTTTCCTCTACCTGATATTGGAGTTAGTAAGCGACTGCGAGCTACCAGTTACGCCAAATCGACGATCAAATGCATTGTTTACAAAAGCTGATACGTCCCTTTGAAAAAGTTATCGAGATATAGTAACCGGATAGTATCCGCAGAATATTGGTTTCCGGTAGTTATTATGTAGTTGAGTAATTCCCTACGAATTCGCAAATCGGTTTGTTATTGTATATTTTGATTTGGTTGAAAATTTGCAGAAACGTTCCTTATGACCGACAATGCCATTTTGCATCTTCATATCGCCATTATGAATCCAGCCTTATTTTTGAAAAGGGCATATAGAAAAATATTAAGCTTATCTTCAGAAATTTTGAACTCGAAAACTGTTTGCCCGATCAGTTTGGTGTCTTGGGCAATATTGCAGGTAATAGATGAGACTATTTGAAAAAAAACATACACCCTAAAAAAATTTACCCAACTTTTTTTTTTATTTCAATAAAGTCTTAAAAATAATTTTCCTCAAAAAAGGATGTTTGTATTTTTTTATTTGTTGATATGTTTTAGGGGACAAAAAATACCATCTTTTGCACTATAGGTCAAGATGGAGAAACGATGGACAAAAAAGTTATGATTAAAAAAAACTCAAGTTTTTGGAAAAATATCCAAAACTTGGGCCAATTACTGTTTTATGTAATGAAAGTTCACCAAATTTACAATAAAAAAGCACTTCAGTAAAATTTTGCTAAGTCTCACCGTTTTCGAGATGTAGTGGTTTGAAAGTAGATATTCTGAAAATGTAAAATTTGCTATTTTAAGGTAAAATTATCTGATCCTTCCGAAAAAAAAAATATTGTTGGAACTGGAGAACAGCGAAATACATTTAAAAATGGCCAAAAACTACCAAAATTTTAAAAATATCTTCTTTCAAACCGCTACATCTCGAAAACGGTGCGAGTTAGCAAAATTTTACTGTACTTTGATTATATTAAGTCAAAAACAGTAATTAGAACAAGTTAAGGATATTTTTCCAAAAACTGAAGTTTTTTTTAAAAATCATAACTTTTTTGTCGATTATTTCTCCATCTTGACCTATAATGCAATAGATGGCATTTTCTGTTTCCTAAAACATATCAACAAATAAAAAAAATACAAAAATCCGTTTTTGAGATAAATTGTTTTTAAGATTTTGTTTGAAATAAAAAAAAAACTTGGTAATTTTTTTAGAGTGCATATTTTTTTCAAATGGTCTTATTCATTATCTGCAATATTGCCCAAGACATCAAACCGATCGGGCAAACAGATTTCGAGTAAAAATTTTCTGAAGATAAGCTTAATATTTTTCTATATGCTCTTTTCAAAAATAAGGATGGATGCAAAAAATTGCACTGCCGGTCATAAGGAACTTTTCTGCAAATTTTCAACCAAATCAAAAAATACAAAAATAACCCGATTTGCGAATTCGTTAAAATTGCTCAGTTGCAAAATGTTATTTTATATTAAACGAATATTAAACTAACGAGGCCATTCTGAAGATGGTGGCCATCGGGCTCAGGAAAAGTTTCAAATAACCTACAATATTGGTATTTTCGGAACGGTGACGACGCGAAGGTCCCGAAAATCGATGTCCGACGCCAGTTTGGAATCCAATATGGCGGCCATCGGACTCAGAAAAAGTGTTAAATACCCTAAGATATGGGTATTTTCGGAATGGTGACGACGCTTCTTCGTCTTCTTCTTCTTCTTCTTCTTCTTCTTCTTCTTCTTATTATTCTTCTTCTTCTTCTTCTTCTTCTTCTTCTTCTTCTTCTTCTTATTCGCATTTCAAGCTTATTGCGTGCTCTCAACTTAGTGTTCTAGATGCACTTCCACAGTTATTAATTGAGAGCTTTCGATGCCTGTACCATTTTTGTCCAATCATACTTCTATGCCCAGGGAATTCGAGGAATTTTCCATCCCGAAAAATTCCTCGACCGGACCGGGAATTGAACCCAGCCACCTCCAGCATGGTTTTGCTTTGTAGCTGCGCCTGTACGGACTGAGCTAAGGGAGCCCCCGACGGTGACGACACGCAGATGCTGAAAATCGATGTTCAATGACACTTCTTCTAAAATCAGAAGCCACCATCTTGAATTTCAAGATGGCATCGGACATTGATTTCCAGCCTCTAGATGTCACCTCGAATACAAAAATACTCACATTGATCGGCCGCCATCTTAGATTTCAAAATGGCGTCAAACATCGGTTTCTGGCCTATAGTCGTTACTGGGATTTCGGAAATAGCCACATTGATGGGTCTTTGACACTAGTTTCAAAAAATTTTTAAACCCAGAAGTCGCCATCTTGGATTGAAATATGGCGTCTGACATCGATTCGGCATCTACGTGTCATCCCCGTTCTGAAAAATTACACTTTTCCTCAAATCGGAAAACGCCGTCTTGGATTTCAGAATTGTTGAATTATTCTTTTCCGGGGTTTTAATTTTTCGTTGTTCAAAATTCTCATGATATGAATTTCAGAATTAACTTGGAATTCTGCTCTGAAGTATCATGGAATTCTTCTGAGATAAACCAGAAAATACTCCGCGTAATAATTACCGTTGAATTCTTTTTGGAACTTCCTTGGAACCCCTTCTAAGAATTTAGAATTCTCTTGAACCTATTCGGAGACTTTGATTCCTTTGAAAATGTTTTCAAAATTTCTTTTAACTCTATTCAAAACAACTGAAATCTTTCGAAATTTTATTTTGTTGGAATTCTGTGATGAATCTTTCGCACATCAGGGTAGAAATTATTGCCAGAACACTCTTAGAACTCTGTTTCTTGTTGAAATATGATCATAATTCTCTTGGAACTCTTGGAATTCTTCTTAAAATTCATCTGTCATTTTCCTCATGATCCCCGTACAAATCTCCTCAGAAGCACGTAGGAATTTTTCTTAAAGTTTAGTTTTTCATCACTCCTTTTGAAATCTTCTAAAATAAGATAAAAATTTGAGTTAGAACTTGCATTCTTCTCCACAGAAATCCCTCCAAATTCATCTAACAATTTCTAAGGGCTTCATGTCAGAATAGTCTTGGAATTCTGCTCAGAATTTCTCCTTCGAAAACGTGGAGGCGAACCAGCCCCAGGCTGAAAGCCTCCCTAATAAAGATAAATCAATCAATTCTCCTCCAAAAACTGTGTTGGAATCCTTCTCAATATTTGTTTGAAATCAACACTTTGAATTCTTTTAAATTTTACTGGAAATTCCAGGGTTTATCCGCTAGAGATTCTATGGATTGTTCTGTAATTGTTTATAACCATTAAAATACTTCCAAGTCTCAGAGCGTGACGACTCATAAGTATGATATTTTTTTTTTCAAATCTGTGATCTAGACTTTTTTTTTAAATCTCACATTTTAATTATTTTTTCTCCAAATCTTGCATTACGAAGATTGTTGTTAGTCACAAATTTTGAAGAAAAGTTCTAGTTTCAGACTCCACACAAATTTCAAAACCCCAGAATCTTGGGAATCTTCTTAAATCAAAGTTTTGTTTATCCTTTCAGCACGTTTTTAAAAATGCGTTCAATTTCGTTTGTTTTTTTGTTGAATTTTAACAACCGGGAATTTTTAAAGATTTGAACCGGAAAACCGGGAATTTCAAAATGAAAATCCTCTGGCCACCCTGACAAGGGCATCTGATATCGAAATCCGGCTTCTAGGCATTACCCTGTTTCTAAAAAAAAGCATATGTATGGGTATTTGATAGAATTTCACACTTTTTCAAAACCACAAGAATTTTAAAATAGCGTCGGACATTGTTTTTCAGTCTCTAGATGTCATCCCGATTCCTAAAAATATTTTCTTTAACTGGAAGCCACCATATTGGATTTCAAAATGGCGTCGCTTATCTATTTCCAATCTCTAGACGTCACCCCGATTCCAAAAATACCCATATTGATGGGTCGGCATCACTATTTCCCACTTTTCCGATATGGGAAGCCACCATCTTGTATTTCAAAAGGGCGTCGCATATCTATTTCCAATATCTAAACATCACCCTGATTAAAAAATACCCATATTGATGGGTATTTGACAGTATTTCCCATGTTTTATTTTTCTGAAATCGAAAGTCGCCATCCTTAGTTTCAAAATAGCGTCGGATATCGATTTTACGTCTAAGCGTCATCCAGTTTCGAAAAAATACCTATATTAATGGGTATTTGACAGTATTTCCCTCTTTTTTTAAACTGGAAGCCGCCATCTTGTATTTTAAAATGGCGTCGCAAATCGATTTTCAATCTTTAGACGTCATCCTGATTCCAAAAATACCCATATGGATGGGTCGCTGTCAATATTTCCCACTTTTTCTGAAATCAGATGCCGCCATCTTGGATTTCAAAATGGCGTCGGTCATCGATTTTCGGTCTCTAGACGTAACTCCGATTCCAAAAATACTCATATTGATGAGGAAACAAACCACCCTATAATGATGAATATGACATCCACGTACACAGATCTATGCGCATGCGCTTAAATGAACCGAGTGAGCAATCAACAAAAGTCAGAAAAACTGCGCGAATTTGGATCGAACAGCTTCGCTTCAATGTGAAAGCAAGTTCGTTTGACAATGAAAGACGAAATTAATAAGAAGTCAAGCCAAAACAAACAGCATGCAAACTGATCGAAATTGGTTCTGTTGATGTTGAAGAGGATCTGCTTGAAGAGAAGACAGAATGACTTTCAATTGAAAGTGATGGTTGACACCTTCGTCGTCGCTTGACGATTTCCGATTGAAAGTGACATTGTTGGGCCCTGGTTCTGAGTGATTAAAGCAATCCAATGTCAGTTTGTAGAGCCGTACTCCGGATATTTGTATAGGTGGCGAACTCTTAGCTTGGCTCTGTCACTTTTACGATGCCCTTATCACATTCCTTAAGAATAGCGTAGTGTAATCCTCACTTGATTCCCGCCAACAGCTCTGAGTTTCGCCACAGAATGTTTTACTGCAATAAAATTCAGCTGAGTTGATGCTGGTTTTTCGATTTTCATCACTGAGCCTGTGGAGTTCTGCCTTTGAGCTTAACATTAAAAATGTATTATGAAAAAGTATGGATCATTTGTACGAGATTACAATGCTTGACAATAGATAAAAACAGTAACTGCATTTGTTTCTTCTAAATGTTCTGAATATTTGGCTCCCGTTTGACAGTTCACACTGACTCACAGTGACAAAGACATTCAGTGACTCCCCCGCATAAATGCGAACCATTACTTGACCTTACCTAAAACAGTTAAATATTGTTTATAATCCCTGCTAAACTTCAACTGAAATGGTTATGGAACTTTACAGGAACGTTTGTGTGATAAAGTTTTAACCTTATGTATTATGGTTCTTTGGAAGTGAACCTTACAAATAATGGGTTGTTAAGAACCAATACCGTTCCAAATTCTTGTTTTCTGCATACATTTTTGGCAAAGGAATTATATTGGAACTGTTTGATTTATGATTTGAGAACTTTAATTTTAATGGTTATGATAGTCGGTAAGGTTCATAGATGGTTTTGTAACATCCATCAACTTTATGTGGAATATTTCGCAAATTGGTGGCCTGTAAATTACTGATTACCAATTCGCAATATATTCCACGTAAAGTTGACCGATAATACAAAACCATTAAAGGACCTTACTGGCTACCATAACCATTACCATTAAAATTCTCAAACCACGAGTAAAAAGGTTCTAATATAGTCCTCTCTGCGAAAATGTATGGAGAAAACAACTATTTTGAATGGAAATGGTTCTTAACTACCTAATTTTTGTAAGGTCCACTTCCAAAGAACCATAATACATAAGGTTAAAACTTTACCACACAAACGTTCATGTAAAGTTCCGCAACCATTTCAGTTAAAGTTTAGCAGGGATTATAAACAATTTTTAACCATCTTCGGTAAGGTCAGGACAGGACGTGTCAGCTCAGAGATAGATTCCCTCATGTAATTTATGTTTGAGTTTGCACGGGGGCTACTCCAGTATTGCCAAATATGTTGATAAAAATATTATAGTACATTGAAATCAATCATTCACATCCATTTCTTACCATTCATCGTCGAACGGAGCTACGTCAATTTGAATGATCCAGAGGTTCCATTTGGATTCCTCTTGCCATTCAGGAAATGAACCTACCATTATCAATCAACCCAACTGGTTGATAAGTTAATTTAATTTACGATTCACATTTACGCAGCATATTCTGTTGTGGGGAGAAAGCTTAAATCAAAAAAGCTTAAAGGTATCATCCAAACCAATTTTGGTATAGTTCTATCATTTGGGTTATGGTATGCTGACACGTGACTGCAACCATATTTAATGACTATGCGTGCTTCATTTTCCCTGCCACTTTGCCAACAAAAAAAAATGAGAAAAAAATACCACCTGCTAGCAGCACGGCCACTCCAACAACAATATGCCCCATTGTAACCTAACAGAGCGGTGTGCAAGTAGGCGTTTGTCAATTCGCTCAATCAAAAGTGGCTTTTTCTGACAGGCAAATGGTCTTATTTTTTCACTAGCAGCTGGCGGGCCCTGTCCTAGGATCTTACCTGACATGAAGTGGAAATAATTCAACTCAGGGATGCCAGATGTATTTATAAAAAAATAACCAACGAGATTGACGAGATGTCTTCACCGTTGCTTTTAAAATTTTTGGGCGTGAAAGGGTGTTCAATATTTCAGATTTAGGATTTCCCATAAGCTTAAACGCCTGCCTAGAAGTCAAATTTAAGACATTCAAGACTTGAAAAAATATACAGAGAACATGATGCAGCTCTTTGATCATGATAGTTAATTCCTGATCAACCTGCTATGATAGCTAACAGCCATGATTTATTGAACGGTTAAAAATCTTCAGAAAAATATCTGATTCACCATATGAATAGGCAAATAATTCAGAGAATATTATGCGGGTTCTTGATCATCTGGAAGGCTTTAAAATAATTCCGGATCAACCTACTTTCTTGCGAGAATATCTTAGAGACATGATTTGTTTTATTAAACAATTGGAGATCTTCAGAATAATAGGCAGAATATTCAGAATATTTTCTGAGCCATCTGGAATCCCGAGAAAATATCCATGAGGTGTTAATTGAAATGTTGTACAGTTGACAATCTTGAGAATAATACCTGATGATCCTGAAAATTTCCAGCGGGTCTTCATGAATTTCTTTGATCACCTGAAGGTCTTTGAGATATTTTCTGAACAACTTAGTATCATGAGCATGTACATGATTGACCGCCCACGGTTGCTACTCTGTTATTGCCAGATCAGCTGTACTTACACAATACCAGCGCCGGCCGCGCCAGAACACATATCAAGAAAGGATTGGGTAGGAATGTGTTGACGTGACACTCGCTTTGATGGAAGCCGAGAACACCGCTGCACTTCCACGAGGAATCACTGGGTTATTGGGTAAAAGGTTTGGGATTGCAGCAGGGTTCGTTTTGGTAAACGATAAGCTGAATTAATGTCCTAACGATCATATAACGCGAGGGAGCTTGGAATTGAACCCGCGATCTTCTGCTCAGTGAGCAAAAACGTTTGCCACTAGGCAAACGAGCTCCTTTTTAATCATCGATTTGCTGTTATTACCATGTAGTCATGTTAACAAATAAAGCGATTGACGAATCTGGAATATAGATGGGCCTGAGATTAGACTCATGATGTTCCGCTCAGTAAGCAAAAACGATCACTCTAAGGCCACCGAGCCCCTCTTATCACATCATATCTTTACTCGCGCTCCTAGCAAATCCAATATTTCTGTCTTCATTCGTAGAACTAAATAAAACCTAGAACATCCAATGGCGTTTCAATGCGTTAGGACAGAATTGAAACTCGTAGAAGGAATTTGAAAATCAAGAAGCAGTGTTAGATGCTTAGTAGGACGAAAATTAGAATCAAAACCCTATCGCTTGTCTTTGAAACAAACGGATTGTTTTTAACAATTATAACCAATACGGAAACCGATCCGAAAAAGTTCTAAAGCAACACGAACGAATGTTACCGATAAAGCTATGATCAATTTACGGTGCGGTAAAATTGGTACCCCTATTATGCGTCAAACTACCGCATCAAAACCACTTAACCACAGAATCAACCACGGCCCTTATGATCGTGTTAAGGACACACCTAAGAACACATCAACGCGACATTTATTTTCTTAACGAATCATGCTTCAACATGAAAAATATCATAATGCATTATTCGTAGGAACCTAACCGTAAAAACCGAGGAACATGCCTCATGCGATCGAGGTCATCCCCCTGGCAAACGGGAAATGATTCAAATCAATCTCGATTGTTCCCCCAAAGGGACGCATCCGATCCCCAATCCGGCGCAACCGGCATCCCGCCAATACCACCATCAGATAGTGGAAATTCTCCCCTACCTGATAGCGGCACCAGCAAGCGCAGGTGAGCCACCAGCCACAGCAAACCGAGCATCAAACGCACTGCCCACAAAAGCAGACACGCCCTCTCGAAAATGCTTCTTCAGCGATTCAACTACACAATAACTAGATAGGGGAAATGGATGTAATGTCGGTCTAAATGCCCCTAATGTGGGCCCATACATAAATTCAGCAATCGACTAAATTTTCAATAGCGACCAAAAATATTCATAAGTACCGTCCCATATGAACGCGCCCATTTAGATGAAATTTATAAAATAGCAGATTTTTAGCGATGGGCCCAATCTTAGATCCATAGGCCAACATTAGCGCCATTTCCCTTATCACTTTTCTTTCTCAAATCACTCTATGCACAAAAGCAATGCACATCGCACAAACCTGACAATAGATCAGTGCGATCGAGTCACACCGGCAACAAAGGGAAGCGAGAGCACACCAAGCACCTAAGCAACAGCGTTTAAGGTGGCAACATCAGCACAAACCTTTCCAGATCAAATTATCGCGCCCGGGACACAATACTAATCAAGTGTTTGCACCGAAAAACTCCAAGCCAGCACAAAGACAGCCCGAACTAAAAAATAAAAATAAAATAAAAGCCCGCAGCGCCGCAAAAACACAGCCATTTTCGAACGATTCTCAAAGCGCACTTCTATTTTCTGAAAAAAAATATAATATCATAACAGAAATTCTTAGAGACTTGAATTGGATTTTTGGACAGATGAAGATCTTCAGAATAATACCTGATCATCCTGAAGTCTTGAAAAATATCCTCGATCACTTGCAAGTCTTTGGAATAATTTCTGAGTTTGCTGGTATCAGGTGAGAAGATATCAGATATATGATTTGTATTGATGGATAGCACAGCACCTTAATAAAATACAGGGTGGAAAAACCTGGAAAATCAGGGAATATCAGGGAATAAATTTTTGGACTTGGAAAACCAGGGAATTTAATTGAAATGCAAGGAAATATTCCTTAATCACAGAAGTATGACAAACTTTGCTAGTTTCAAACAACTTAATTACTCGCTGTAGTTTGAGGATGGTTTAAAATTTTAAATAGAGTTGCGAACTTGTTGCTCAATGCTTGATGTGGCATTTTTGCAAGTTGAGCAAGAATTACTAGCTGGGTGTTGACACATTCCTGAGTTAAACTGAGATCCTGAGGGTTGATTAAAAAAAATCTATTTCCGTAGACACTAGACGTTGTTATTTGTTGCAAAATATAACCTCCAAACGGGTATTTGCGTCTCTTTATAGATGTTACGTTATTAAATTAAATTCAATTCAAGACTGGTAAAGAGTTAAGAGAAGGAGATGATTTTTTTCTGATCACTTGTAGTTCATGTTCTTTATTGTGTTCTCAACAGCCTGACTAGCTCAGAGAATAAACTCAATGAGTATTTACGATAATGGTCTTGGAATAGCACTTTAATGATTGAATAATGATTCAAGAAACGTAGACTAACATTGCCTAGGTCTTCATTGTAAATATGGTTAGCTTGGAAAATTATCTTCTCTGTGAAATTTTAGTAAGTGTGATGAAATTAAGCTACTGAATTTTGGAGGTGGAAGCGTTGTTTTTACAACTTCCCACCTTAGGAATCTGGCCGTGAATAAGCGTTTTGTTAACGTTTTGAACGGAGGATGCAATATACTGAGCTGCGGTCCAATGCAAGGAAATGGAGAATGAAAAATGTGGTGTGTATATGTGAGTGAAATGAATCATGTCGAAAAAAAAAGTTTGCCGACTGAGATTCGAACGCCGACGTTGCGATTATTAGACCTGTGCTTTCTCCACTGATCTCTCCATGCTTCGGAATATGGATAGCCTAAAAGCAAACAAGAAGCGCTGATTTCCTCGTAAACTCGGCTTCGCTTGTTTTTTTTTTCTGCTGGAGAGAATCGAGGCAAGTGTGTGCGTCGTTCTACCATGTTATACATAACAATCAAGGCAAATGCTTGCTTGTGTAGGTGAAAGCATATACAGAACACGGAATGAAAAAGATTAAAAACCATTGCGACGTCTGCAAGGTCAACTTCTAACATTCGCTGCGATGTTCATGAGCAGAGGTTGATAGGAAATTAAACTAACATTCATTGTAATTTATTTTACATTGGCGGCGTATCAAAAATCATCACGGCGGCGGCGGCGGCGTATGAAATAGTGTCAATGGCGGCGACGTGGCGCCACGGCGCACAGGTCTATCTGGAACTTAAAGTATTTGGCAAGATGACTAAAAATCTGGAAAATGCCAATAAATCTAGAATACTGGCAACGCTGGCAGCAGAAGTGACTGACGAAACAATGATGTAGGTAACACACTCAATCGAAGTAAGCGTCCAACTTTCCGAACTTGCAGTAAAGAATGAATCGCATAGCAGCCGCAGCCCCGCTGTATTATTGCGAAAGGCTGTTGCTTCACATTTTCTGATCCGTCGTCGGCTGCTCGTTCCGTGTTTTGCTCACTCCCTTTCCGACCGTCATTCGCGCGAGTAGGCACCAACGACGTCGACGACGACGACCCGACCGATGCAATATGACATAGGCCGTTGTCTGGTTGGTGGTCGTGTTGAACAAAAAGCTCCAGTTTTACTCACCCCCCGCCCCCGGTGTCAGGCCCATTCCCATCACAATCAGTCCCCACAAACAGAAAAAAGTCATAAAAGTTTCGTGCATTTTTCATTGCATGTAGAGAGTCATTTTTATTTAGCAACCCAAGTCTCAACGACGACGACGACGACAAGCGCTTTGGTAACCTTCGAATCGAAGAAGGCTTTGCGCCAAGTCCCGAACAAAAATGTCAGTAAATTTGACGGCCTACTCTGGCAAGAAGACGATGACGCGCGGTTGACCTTTTCTCTGCTGCACGGAAGAACTTCAAAATCTATTTTTACCTGCACTTGGGAGCTTTTCCGTGCTTCTTCGTGCTGGGGCTGGGGGTGCATTCGAAAATAGCCCCACGCGAGACACAAATTAATAATAATAATCAACCTTTCTTGCCCCGATGCTAGGCCCCTAAATAGATCGAAGTGCAGTACATGTGGAGCTGCTCCAAGGAGCCTGGGGAGTGAGGAGCTTTTTCTTCCTTTTGATTGACGTCATGCTTCAATGTTAGGAAGATGAAGAGAGAAAAAAAACACACAGTTCACTTACGTACGTGTGGCAGGTAGGTACGACGCAAATGACGACGACGGCAAAGCAAGACCGTACCGAGAATTCCCATTTTCTTCCACCTGATGCTCCTGAGGAGATGTGCGGCGATGCGTTGAGGCAAGAGGAAGAATGTGGTTCATCTTTCGAGAAACGATAACCGCACCAACCAGCCCCAACAAGAGACGAAGGTGAGACGAAGTGAGTCTGATTTTGACGGGCCCCAAGCCCCAGCTCTAAAGCGGAAAGTTGCTGCAAGATATCGATTTGGGCCTCGTTGGAGTGAAGCCAGACCAATTCGGGATGAGACTGGACTGGGCAATTGATGGGAAAAGGTTTACACGGCTGCAAGTTGCTAATTGTTCACAGGAAATGGATATCCAATTTCGGGTCTACTTCGAATCATTTGTCCAGCTGAATATGCCTGTTTTATAGCTGCACAAGCTACTGTTTGCCTGTATAAGCTGATCTGCAGTTAAATTACTTGTTGGGGGTTTACTTGAACTTGGATTACGTGCTCGGTATCAATATTCGGCGACTTTTTCCCATCACGGAAACGCCTCGCTTTCGGTACACAAAACGCACGGAATTTTTGGTTTATTCAATAGATAATCAAAAAAGCGAAAACTGATTGGAGGAATTTCCTGCTAAAAATTTCCAATCGCGAGATACCACTTCAATACTGTAACGCATTTGACCACAAACGTTTGTTTGCTGGGGACATTACCAAAGAGATTGGGGGGTGATGTGGCTGGCAACAAGGCGAACGTTCAATGAAAACCAGCTCTTAAACAACAATAATTTATGGTGGTCCTGAAAAGGACCGTTTTGTCGTGATGGTTGAGCAATGCTTAGCTATTGGGGTGTTCAACACGGATGAGACTGGCGAACTGTATGTTGTTTCGAACGAGGGTGACGCGCTTGGCATAGATGACCAACAGCGGCTCGCGACGAACAACTGAATCCGATCAGTAGCGGTGCGGCTTCTTCCTCCTTCTCGGTTAATCGAGGGTTCTTGAGGGCGGCCTTGATAACTAGCTGCTTGCGGGCAGTATTTCGTTGTGTACTGGAGAACAACGTTCAACGCCACACGCCGACACTACCACCGATTGAAAAAGCACCGTTCGGCGAGACCGGATGGAATTAAATTTTGAAATCTGTGTTAGGGAAAGTGCTTTTTGCAGGCAATCGATGATAATTTTGATCAGCATTGCAAAAGTTGGACATTTGTGCATTTTTAAATAGTGACGTATTGAAAATTGATAAAGTTTTCATTTCAGCAGATTCGAAAAAAAAAATTTCAATCGATTGGCTTGTTTAGTATTGTATTGACAAAGTTAAAAGTGGTCAAAATCTGACCACCTTTCGTAACGCGATCAATTTTGGTTTTTTTGAAATTGCATTCCCAAGATGTTGCCAAAAGATGTAATCCTAAGTCAAAAATTGAATGCCAAAAAATTACTTGTTCAATATTTTGTTTTTTTTTAAAGCTTATGCAAATGCAAAGTTTTGGAATATAGAAATAATCGCTTATACTTTTATGCCTAATGTATAGGTCAAGTACTAATCCCAGATATTTCACTTGACTTGACCAAGAAATTGGAACTCCGTTCATAGTGACCATGTGACTAATACTATGTTTCAAAAAGGAAGCTCTAGGCTTATGTGGGAATATTTTAAGTTGAGTTTTGGAAGCGTTGGAGGAAATCTTCCATTTTTGTAAATAAGAAGAGAAAATATCAGAACTTGTCTGCAGTCTGCTTCAAATATCACGAAGAATTCTTCCTTTAGCGGAAATGCCTGTGTAATCGGTGAACAATGATTTGTGGCAACCCTGAGGCAAATCAGGGA